TTCTCCTCCCTCCTCCCCTCGTCCTGTCCCTGCGCCTCATCAGCCGAGAATCAACAAGTCCCCTCGTCCCTTGATGCCGTCGTCGTCGTCATCCCTCTCCGCCTCTCCCCCTCTGCCAACCACTTTTGGGCCGGGTTGCCCCTCGGAGCTTTGGCTGGGCTCCAAGCGGCAATTAACTCGCCCGTGCGCAGGGAACGAGACCGAGATCGCCGGGACGACGACAGGGGTCGCGGTGATGACCGGGACTGCGGCACATGGGGGGCCGGGGAGGAGGAGGAGGAGGAGGAGGAGGAGGAGGAGGAGGAGGAGGAGGAGGAGGAGGAGGAGAGGAGCAGGAGGAGGAGGAGGAGGAGGAGGAGGAGGAGGAGGAAAAGGAGGAGGAGGAGGGGAGGAGAGAGCGAGGGGGAGGAGGAGGAGAAGGAGGAGGAGGAGGAGGAGGAGGAGGAGGGGGCGGAGGAGGAGGAGGAGGGGGAGGAGGAGGAGGAGGAGGGGGAGGAGGAGGAGGAGGAGGGGGAGGAGGGGGAGGAGGAGGAGGGAGGGGAGGAGGAGGAGGAGGAGGAGGAGGGGAGGAGGAGGAGGGGAAAAAGGGGAATAAGGAGGAGGGTGAAGGGAAGGAGGGGGGAGGGAAACAGTGAGGAGGGGAGGAGGGCATGGGGAGGATGGGGAGGTGGGGGGATGGAGGGCTGAGAAGGGACGGGGGAGGAGGGACTATGGAGGGAGGCGGGAAGAAGAAGGAGTGTGGGGGGGGATGGAGGAGGAGGGTGGAGGGAGGCGGAGTGAGAAGGGAGGAGGGGGGGGGAGGAGAAGGAGGGTGGGAGGGAGGATTGGGAGGGGAGGAGGGGAGGGGAGGAAGGAGGAGGGAGGAGGAGAGAGGAGGGAGGAGGAGGGGAGGACGGAGAGCGTAACAATTTGAACGACGGCTCGCCGAATGTGGAACACGGGAAGGTGGATTTCCCCCCTGGCGCGGGCTGTGGGGGCCCCGACTTGAATCTGACCTCTCAAGGGCCCGTCTGCGCTCCCACGCGGAGGGGGGCGCCGGCTTTTAGCGCGCTTTGGCATGCGCGCCTCGGCGCCCAGCGAAGAGCGGCGCCGCCGTGGGGCATCCCCCGCAGCGGCCCAGAAAGAGCGGACGACGTAACGGTTGCCAGTTGTTCGCGAGGCCTGGCGTGGAGCGATGAGCTAGCAGCGGTGTGCCGCCATATGGGCGTCAAGCAAGGCTTGGAGGTTGTCGTGGATGGATGATTTTCTGTTTGTGGTAGGTCGGAAGGTCTGTTGTAGACTGTTTTAAGTTTTCTGCGCGCGGTGGAACCTGTCGATCAGCGGTGTTGATTGTTCCTAGACCTGGTGGGGAGAAGTCGCCAGCTGGTAGGCTCGCTGGTGGAGCGCTTGCGTGCTGGCACGAGGGAGGGAGGGAGAGGTCCCCCGTTCCCCGACTGGCAGGATCGCGGCGGTGGAGGCGACCGCGGCCGCGACCGCACCAGGGACGACAGCCGCGACCGCGGCAGGGGCCGTGGAGGCCGGGGCCGCCGCTGCCGTCGTCGCCGTCGCCGTCGTCGTCGTCGTCGTCCCCGCCATCGCCCTCGCCCTCGCCGTCGCCGTCGCCGTCGCCGTTTCGAGGAGGAAAGAACGTTACAACCATAAACTCTGGGAGCTCCGCGCGGATTTGTTGGATCTGCGCTTTGGCCCCCTTGGCGGCGCCTCCAGCGGCGCCCCTGGCGCGCTCAGTCCAGCGCCGACCCAAGAAATATGCGGGGAACTCCAAAAGTTTGTGTTTCGGTTTCTTCGTCATGTTTTGCCTTGTTCTTCTGCTTCTTCGTCGTCGTCGTCGTCGCGGGCAGGATTTACATCTATATTTTTGGCAAAGAACCCGAGACGCAGTGGATATGTGTAACAATATGTTTCATAGAACTTGAACTTCTATCCATATCACTTGCGTCTAAAGCTTTCTGAAAATCCAGAACGGCATGGATATGGGTATAATTCTTGCTCGCAGTCGTCGTCGTCGTCGTCGGACATGAGAGAACGAGCAGGCCCAAAATCCCCACATCGGGTTGTGAACAGAAACACGACGAGAGGGTTTCAAACAGTTTCCGGACTCCAGGGGTCCCTCGCCGGGACCCAGAATCGTAAAACAGCGGCCTGGGACGAAAACCTGGTCCTGGGAGGGGGTGCGGATCTCTGGAGGTTTCCATTGCGAGCAAGAGCGCGACGTTGTGGAAGAGCATACTCCTCCGCGGGCGCCTAGGTTCGAGGGTTTGAAGCTGTCCGGCGTTCTGTCGGTCCTTGGCGGTTTTCCAGCCCAGTGGTGTTTTCCAGCGGCTGCGCCTCGTCGAGGGCTTTCCGGGGGTCCCTGGATCGTCCCGAACTGCCGCTGGAGAGCCGAGTGCTGGCCCGAAGGCTAGACGAGGAGGGGGACCAGAGCAAGCCCAAGACGTACCAACGATGGATCGTGGTCTCGGAAGCGCGGGATATTGGAGAAGCCCCATGCGACTGCACGTGGCATTCTGCTGCGCCTGAGCGTGCCAGGGGCCACAGGGGCGGACTGGGATGGAGGGGGAGGAGGTGGAGGAGGATGAGGAGGAGGAGGAGGATGAGGATGAGGGTGAGGATGAGGATGATGGTGGTGATGATGATGATGATGATGATGATGATGATGATGATGATGATGATGATGATGATGATGATGATGATGATGTTGATGATGATGATTATGATGATGATGATGATGATGATGATGATGATGATGATGATGATGATGATGATGATGATGATGATGATGATGATGATGATGATGATGATGATGATGATGATGATGATGATGATTATGATGATGATGATGATGATGA